ATCCAGGCGTTGTACTCACGCTGGGACTTTCGATAAAGCTCTGGACGTGATTGCGGTCAGATTCATTCAGGTTCGGCCGGCATTGCAGCCAGATGCATTCTCAAAACTGCTAGTGTGAGTATGCTCTCCGAAAAACGTATTTCAGTCCTTCGGGACATCTGTTAAAATTGGAACGATACAGAGAACCTAGACAAGATTAGCATGGCCCCTGCGCAAGGGTGACACGCATAAATCGAGAAATGGTCGAAAAAAAAGAAAAAAAAAAGAAGGTCCAAATTAGAAAAAAAGAAACAAAAAAAAAGAACAGAACGAAACGTATTTCAGGTTCCACTTGGACAGCCGGAATTTTTTTTTTTTTTTTTTTTTTGACGGAGATTTGAGCTCGCTCCACTACTCACTACCTGCACAAAGGACAAAGATCATGGCGGTGTATCTTTCCATGTTTAGCAGTAGATTCACTCTCCTTTTCCACATTTGCAGAGTAGTGGAGCGAGGCCCTCTGCTCGTTTTGCACGAAATTCAAACAAACATTCAGTGCGGTGTATCTTTCCATGTTTAGCGGAAGATTCATTCTCGTTTTGCACATTTGGAGAGTAGTGGTGTATCTTTCCATGTTTAGCGGAAGATTCATTCCCGTTTTGCACATTTGGAGAGTAGTGGAGTGAGGCCCTTTTCTCGTAAAAGGGAACGGTCCCATTTTTTCCGATTTCGAGTGAAGATTTCTACACCAGTCTGTTCTCCCCCCTTTTTTTTAAAAAAAAAGGTAAAAATTTTCAAATAAAGTGCTTTTTTTTTTGTTTTTTTGGGAGAATAAAGTGCTTTCCATCCATCCTTGCTTGTGGAAGGAACTTCAAGGCAGTTGGGAGATTTTCTCTCTCCCTTCTTTTCTCTTGGGATAATTTGCGAAATACAAGTTCAGATATATGCCAAAATGCCCCTAAAAGATGTGGGTAGAGGGGAGTGCCCTTTTGGGCCTAAATCCAAATCTTTGTGTTTTGCCCTGTCAGGACAGCGTGCAAATTTGCAATCTGGACTGCCTCGTTGGGGCCTGGGCCTGCACCCTGTTTTACCCCGTTTGCCCTCCATACCCGGTGGGCAAACTTTGCACAATACCAAGGCCCGTAGGCGTGGCAGTTCGCCTCCGTGATTCAAACTTTCACACTCGTTCCAAGACTCTGCCTCTGTCTCACGTGGTGTGCCACAGCTTCATTCACCGTCCTGGCTCCACCCTGGTTCCCCAGCTCCAACTCCTCCCTCCCATTCCTCCGAGTTCTCCTCCTATGCCACATCACCATGTCTAAAATCTTCCTACTAGCCACTCTGCAAATTCTCTCTCTCTCTCTCTCTCTCTCTCTCTCTCTCTCTCTCTCTCTCTCTGTGTGTGCCACTCCCGCTATCCCGCCATGCTATCCTGTTATTCCGCCCCACTATTCGCTCCAGCTATCCCGCTCCCCTTCTCTCTCTCTCTCTCTCACACACACACACACACACACACACCCACACACACACCCACACACACACCGCAACTGCTAAAACGACAGTGCCTTCCCCCCAATAGAATGCACGCCCATTATCTGTATATGTAGACAGAAAGTTGCTCCCAAAAACTACAGGCATAATGGCCGTGCATTCTCTCCTAGGGCCGGTCAGTTTCGGGGCAATGTCCGGTTTGTAATCGCGATTGATGGTTTTCCTTTTTTTCTTTCGAACATCAGCCTCCAGGGGTGATCAATCTTGATCGTCCTCTATGTGGATATGGGATACTTCCGCCGAAATGACCTTTTCTCGTGAAAAAACGGTTTCCATCTGCCCCTCGGGCCCTTTTCATAAGAATAGGCCACGTGGAATAATCTAGTCCCGTGGCATGCTGTGATGATACTGTGATACAACCCTCACAAGAAAAATGGCTTCGACTACCATGAAGAAAACAAAATTTGATGCATTTTGGCGGAGGTCACTCGAATGGGTTTGCGGGATTCTGAGGTGCAGGAGAGACTGCAGCGGTTGCTGCCGATTTTGTCTGCGTGGCATTTTTTACCTGTGGAACACTGGAACGGGGTAACAGGTGGCACAAAGATGGGAAAAGAAAGAAAGATATATATATATATATATATATAGAGAGAGAGAGAGAGAGAGAGAGAGAGAGAGAGAGAGAGAGAGGAACCAGTGGCAGACGTGTTCATAGGTTTAACTTGTGGGAATGAGCGATAAGGAATCTGTAGCGTGGGTGACGCTTAGTTGTTGCTGATCGGGGGTGGAAAAAGGGGGTGATGAGAACAAGTGACTATACGAAGACTGTGTTTGCTCACCATCAAGTCGTGTGCATCTCAACATGTAGTGCGTGGGGAGGTGTTCTTCTGTCCGTTCTTGTGTGTGTGTGTGTGTGTGTGTGTGTGTGTTGTGTGTGTGTGTGTGTGTGTGTGTGTGTGTGTAGAGTATCTACAGGGTAGCCTTGGGCCTGGAAAGGGCAGTTGTCGGCCTCCAACAGCCAGGGGGCAAAATGCAAAGATGACCTGGGCCGGTAGGGGTAAAACGATAATAAACAGGGGCACGGAAAAGTTCACAAGTACCGGGACATTTTGCAAAGATGGACAGTACCCGGTAGGGGTATTTTGCAAAGACGGCGGGTCCAACCGATGCCAGGGGCATTTTGCAAAACATTTTTTGTGTCAGAGGGGTATTCCGCTCTACCCACATCTTTTAGGGGCATGTTGGCATATATCCGAACTTATAGGGGTATTTTGCAAATTATCCCTTTTTTCTTTTTTAACAAGAAAAAGTTGTCTTAATTATTAGGGAGGATTTCTTTTTTTTTTTTTTTTTTTTTTTTTTGGGGGGAGGATTTCTCCTTTCTTTGCCCTTCCGTCTGTCTAGTTCCTGTTCTCCTTGTTCTTGTTGTTGTTCTTCTTCTTCTTAGTCGTTGTTGTCTTCGTCTTCTTTTTTTTATTTTTGGGGGTGGCGGGGGGTGGGGTTGGTTTGCGCTGTCGATGGGTCCAGTCTATTATAGGGGAGCAACGCCTGCTGGGAAAAGGCTCCAGCGTCCCAGAAATACAGTGTCTGTCCGTCGGGACAGCCGTTAAAAAATTGGAACGATACACACACACACAGAGAGAGAGAGAGAGAGAGAGAGAGAGAGAGAGAGAGAGAGAGAGAGAGAGAGAGAGAGAGAGAGAGAGAAGCATGGCTCCTGGGCCGTGGTCCCATTAGCAAAGAGCATAGGATTGAATGCCTGAATCTGGACGTGTTTGAGGAGAGGAGCAGGAGGAAATTGAGATAGAACTGCTTTTCTGTATCTCTGCATAAAACATAGCCAGATTCAGGATTTCTATCCTGTCCCCTTTGCTAGTGGGACCACAGCCCTGCGCAAGGATGGCACGCATAAATCGAGATAAGACTCTGCGCAATTCCGAAAAAAAGACAAAAAACACTGGGCCTAGCACGGTTGGTACATCCAACAAATTGTTGAAATACACCCAACAAATTGTTGAAACACACCCGACAAATTGTTGAAATACAGACCCAAGAAGTTGGAATCCAGATGCAGTCAGATAAACAAAATAATATAAGTTAATAATTCTGAATACCTGCGGCCGCTGTCAGCTTGACGATGATATCTTTTTTTTTCTTTTTCTTTTTTTTTAATTTGGACCATTTCTCGATTTATGCGTGTCATCCTTGCGCAGGGGCCTTGCTAATCTACTCTGTATCGTTCCAATTTGAACGGATGTCCCGAAGGAAGACGATGATATCTCAAGGCCGTTGCCCATTTTGAAAAGAAAAAAAAGAAGAAATGGGGAAAAAAAATTCTACACAGGGTCATCTTGGGCTATAATGGGCTTAGTGCAAATCTACCCTCTACAGCAGATATGCAAATCTAGCAATGGTTCCAAAAAAAAAAATAAAAAAAAATCTAGCAAGGGGTATTACTGCTGTAGGGGTGAACAGAATCAAATACGGAAAGAAGAGGGGCTCTCGAGCAAAATGCACGTCGTATGTGAGAAAAAAAGAGACGAATACAGAATACGGAAGGAAAGGGCTACCAACTGGCGTACCTTCTTCCCCCGAATACAACGTAGGGTCATTATAGCTGTATTTAGACTGAAAGATACGGTCATTTGAGCTATAATGACCATACGTTGTATTCGGGGAAAGAAGGTGGCTCAGTAGTTATGGATCCGTACATTTGGCCCCAGGCCCGCCCGCATGCAAGTACGGATGTACGGATTCGAACTGGCAACCTTGTTGTCCATATGTCGACGGCACTCCACTTAGTTCATCAGAAACAACAAGGAGCCGAGATAGCCGAGCCGTTAGATCACACGCACGCAGTCAGGACAGACAGACGAACACTGTATCCTTCTTTTGTTTTCCTGTATTCGCTTTTGAACTGGCGACCTAGGCCTCAAGAGGATTTAAGTCTCTTAACCGACACAACCAGGACACAGGGGTACAGTGCTCGTCTTTGGAACCATGTCGGTATCGGTATCGGTCCTGATATCCACTCCACCCCAGCAAGGCTTGGAACCATATCGGTGTCCAACTCGACACACGCTACGCAATAGGGGGGCTTTGCCCCTGGTCTTCTTGCCCCCGGTCT